AAAGACGGGCTCTCCCTCTGTCACCTAGGCTAGAGTACAGTGGCACACCCATAGCTCACTGCAATCTCCAACTCCAGGGCTCAAGGGATCCTCCTGCCTCAGCCTTCTGAGCACATGAGACAACAGGCACATGCTGCCACGCCCAGTTTATTTTTGTTTTTGTTGAGATGGGGTCTTGCTTTGTTGCCCAGGCTGGGAAAATGAGTATTTTAATGCAGGGGGTTTCATAGAATAAAGCTCAGGACACATCATAAAGTAAAACTTGTTTGCCTTCTGACATAAATATTTGCTTTTCTTTGTATGGGCATATTATTTATTTCTCTGGTCTTGCTTTCTGCTTCAGTAGTTACAGATTTATGAACCATTGTTTAGTAGTGCTCTCCTTTGAAGCTGGGGAAAATTAAGTGAAGTCCTTTTACGTGAATAATATAGAGTACAACAAGGTTCTCCAAGGCCTCTCTGTGAAATGACTTTAAAACCACTGGTGAGCGTTTCAACTCTGGACTTTTCAGTCTTTTAAAATTCACTCACGTAGTTTGGAAGAAAAGAATTTGAACAGACAATGAGATTTACATAGCCTGAGTCTAAATCTGAATGCTTTTCTCCAAATATATTTTCTTTTTAGGTAAATATTATGTTTTAAATTTTAAAAAAAATAAAATTAGAGTTTGATAGCAGTCTTTTAAATAAGTCATTTCTCCACCCCTCCTTGTCTCTGTCTCCCTCCCAATTATTCTGTCACTTATACACTGATGCTCTGGCTAAAAAAGTCACTCAGCACTCCTCCTAGAGGGAACATTAGTTAAGAGCAGCTGCTTCCAGGGTGGGTAACTTTGCCAAATTACTTAACTTCTTTATGTTTCAGTTTTTTGTATTTGTAAAATGGGAATAGTGATGGCACTCATCCCATAAGGGGATTGTAACAGTACAATTTATAAGTTGGTGGGAGGTTTGAATGAGTTAATGCATCTAAAGTACTTAAAGTCGTATCTAGCACCCAGGAAGTACTCATGTTGTCATATTTTCCTCATCAAATAGTAATTGAGTACCTTCTTTTTTTCTTTCTTTTTTTTTTTTTTTTTTTTTTTTTTTTTTTGAGACGGAGTTTCACTCATGTTACCCAGGCTGGAGTGCAATGGCGCGATCTCGGCTCACTGCAACCTCCACCTCCTGGGTTCAGGCAATTCTCCTGCCTCAGCCTCCTGAGTAGCTGGGATTACAGGCACGTGCCACCATGCCCAGCTAATTTTTTGTATTTTTTTTAGTAGAGATGGGGTTTCACCATGTTGACCAGGATGGTCTCGATCTCTTGACCTCATGATCCACCCACCTCGGCCTCCCAAAGTGCTGGGATTACAGGCTTGAGCCACCGCGCCCGGCCTCTTTCTTTTTTTTTAACTCCCTCACCCCAAGTGCCTCCTTAAAAGATAGTGTGGGCTGGGCACAGTAACTTACACCTGTAATTCCCAACACTTTGGGAGGCTGGTGTGGGTGGATCACCTGAGGTCAGCAGTTCAAGACTAGCCTGGCCAACATGGTAAAACCCCATCTCTACTAAAAATACAAAAATTACCCAGGCGTGGTGGCAGGCACCTGTATTCCCAGCTACTTGGGAGGCTGAAGCAGGAAAATCGCTTGAACCCAGGAGACAGAGGTTGCAGTGAGACAAGATCATGCCATTGCACTCCAGCGTCAGTGACAGAGCAAGACTCTGTCTAAAAAACAAACAAACAAACAAAAAATAGTGTGCTGGATACTAGAATCTAGCGGTTAATAGAAAGACGCAGTTTTGCAAAATTCATGGATCCTCAAACACAGCATTTATTTATTGTTTAAAAATTCTATTTATCCTGAGATGTAAATGCTTCATGGAACTATGATAATCAATCTGCATTTTTCATATTTCCCCTCCCCCTCTTTTAAAACCATTTTAAAATAATATTTTCAAAATAAAAGTGGGGTGTGTGTGTGTGTGTGTGTGTGTGTCAGGGTCTTACTCTGTCACGCAGGCTGGAGTGCAGTGGTGCAATCACCACTCACTGAAGCCTCAGCCTTCCCAGCTCAAGTGATCCTCCCACCTCAGGCTCAGCCTCCAGAAGTAGCTGAGACCACAGGCATACACTACCATGCCTGGCTAATTTATTTCTATTTAATTTATTTATTTTTAAGAGATGGGAGTCTCACTACGTTGGCCGGGGTGGTCTTGAACTCCTGGGCTTAGGTGATTCCTCCAGCCTCAGTGTCCCAAAGTGTTGGGATTTACAGGTGTGAACCACCATGCCTGGCATAAAATACCATTTTACTCTCACATGGTGCCACGAAGATAAGGGGAAATTTTCCCTTTTCTTTGTAAATGAAGCAACTTGAGGACAGATATTTGAAGGTCTTGTCTGAGGTTAGTTTACAATGGGACACAGGCCCCAGGCCTTCTAATACTTCATCTAGTTCTCTGCAGTAGCCCTCCCTACCCCACCTTTGGTATGGATAGCAACCCCAGTGTTTCCTCATTTATTGAGCATGTGTGACTTTTAAAAGGCTCTCTTAGTTTCTTGATTTCTGTGAGAAGCTAGATAGCCATGACTTTACCTTGACCATGTGACTGAAAACATACTGAATATTGGATGGAGAAGTTCAAATTGTTTCAGAAACACATGCCAAGTTATTATTAACATTATATGAATGGGGGGTGGCAGGTCACATAAGGCTTCCTGCAAGAGAAGCATTCAAGCTGACGCCCTGTTCATGAATTTAATCTAAGAACAGCTAGAATGATCGCAGTGGCCAGTTTGCTAGCCTGATCATTTTGGTCATCTGCAGAAATGTTCTCAATGGACTTTGAGAGTTGGAATTCGTTGGTATACAGGCTTCTCCTTGGAAATGAATACACCAAGCAACTAAGAAAAGTTGGAAATGCATCTGTCTCAAGTCTCATTGAAAATTCCTGCTCTCTGGTCCGTGCCTCCAACATGACAAAAAAGAAGGAACAACTGTTGTGCCAAAAAGGGCCACAGCCATGTGCAGCCTATTCACTGCACAAATTGTGCCCAATGTGTGCCCAAGGACAAGGCCTTTTAAGAAATTCCTCATTTGAAACACAGTGGAGGCCACAGCAGTCAGGGATATTTCTAAAGCGACCGTCTTCCATGCCTATGTGTTTCTCAAGCTGTATGTGAAGCTACATTACTATGTGAGTTGTGCCATTTACAGCAAAGTAGTCAGGAATCGATCTCATGAAGCCCGCAAGGACCAAACACCCCTACCCCGATTTAGACCTCCGGGTGCTATCCCACAACCCTACCAAAACCCATGTAAGGAGCTGAGTCCTTAAAGACTGAAGACAGGCTATTCTCTAAAGAAAAATAAAATGGAAATTATACTTAAAAAAATCAAAAGAAACAAGAAAGAAAATTTCTTTACGTACCATATTCCAAAAGATTACATGGAATTGAACATTTGTGAAATAAGGACAGGACTAGTAGACTTTTTTAAGTGGGAATCTCTCATCTCTTTTCCCCTGGTACTTAGAAAACTTAAACATCATCGCCAGTATCTGATTGTTTATTTACTAACTGCCTGTTTGGAGAAAATGTCCTATTGTCTCAGAACAATGGAAGCTGTGGTCCCAAGAGAGCGAGGAGACAGGGAGGTGTCCAGGTAGTTAGTTGGGATAGACCCAGTTTGGCTCATATTTTTTGCATCTCTCAGTTTGGTGAAAAGCATAGTGAGTGGCACTGCAGAAAACCCAAGAAAACTGGAAATAGAAAATGGCAATATTGAAACTAAAGCAATTAAAATAGTGCCCCGTTTGAACATGCTCAGTGACCTGGCTTAGAACTGTTAGTCAAAAAGAATGTATTAAATGCTTTAGGCATTTGTAAAGACTTCTTCCCTAGTTTATAGATTCTCTGCCCTTCATTGGCCTTTGGATAATCAGCTCAAAGGTAAAAAGGTAATAGGATAGAAGGGGCAAATAGGCTAGATGTTTGCAGTCATTTCCTTCCATTCCCAGGCAGACATAGCTGATTGATCATGGTGCCTCTTTCCACTAAACACAGATGTGTTTTCAACATCATTCTCTATTGGAATTGGCACATGAAACGTATATACCATCCTTGATATATAACATTGTTTTTTTCTGTTGATGTAGTCCAGATTTTACCCATATTAACTTAAAAAAAAAAAGATTGTCTTGTCTTAGAAATTTCTAAGCTCAGCTGAAGAAATGGATTCTATAAATACCTTTACAACCTATACACTAATTTTATCCACAGATGAATTGAGATGTGCACCTGAATTTACCTCTTGCATCTGAATCAGGGCCAATCACTAGGCTCTATTAACAAAAGTATGTAATTAAGATAAAGGGCGGGAGCAAGCCAGCCAATCCTAAAATTAGCTCTTGCTTTGATGTTCCGCAGGTGCAAGTGCACACAGCCCTGGTCCTTTCACCCTGGATGCACTTGATTTCCTTTTCAAGGTGTGTCCAGGCCTTACCAGGATTTCCAAAGCTTGGTTCTGGCTCAGGTTGGGGAGCACAGACTGTTTTCTCCTGTGGGATGCTATTCACGTTTGAAATGGTATCTGGCAACTTAGAAGCTTTTTGCGTAAATATTCTTTAAGATAGGTGTCACATTTTTGTGTTTAGCGTGTGATAGTCCAATAGACTTCTTACAAACTGTTTTTGGGCTGGTACTTTGAGAATAATGTAATTTTTATCAGGGGTCGATTCTTTACAATGAAGGTAGGCAGTGCAATTATGGAATGGATTTTTTTGTTTTCCTTTTTTTTGAGATAGAGTCTCACTCTGTTACCCAGGATGGAATGCAGTGGTTCGATCTCAGCTCACTCCAACCTCCACCTCCCAGGTTCAAGCGATTCTTCTGCCTCAGTTTCCAGAGTAGCTGGAACTACAGGTGCACACCACCATGCTTGGCTAATTTTTTATATTTTTAGTACAGACAGCGTTTTGCCATGTTGGTCAGGCTAGTCTTGAACTCTTGACCTTAAGTGATCTACCTGCCTCAATATCCAAGAGCTGGGATTACAGTTGTGAGCCACCGTGCCTGGCCTAAAGAAGGGATTTTAAGCCTATCAAGAGATACCAATATAGCTACAGACTTCACTCTGGCAACTTTGGGAGGGAAGCTTGAACTTGCTATTTCCAATGTGCACCCCTGGGCAAGGCATGCACCCTGTCTTGTGCTCTAGTATCCTAAATGAAATGGAGGTGGCATCAGTACCGACGCCTTAGGGTTGTTATAAGAATTAAATCAAAGATATAACAGACATCTGTAAGTCAACTGACACAGTGCTTGGCATATGAACCCTAAGATGTAAGGAATTGCTCATCAGAGATCAGAGACCAGGGTGGGAACTAGGGTGAGGCAGGTGAGGCACTTACCTTGGGTGCAAAATTTAAGACACCAAAACCCTCAAGAATTAAGTAAGAGATAATGCAATACTTTTCTTCCCTCCTTCCTGCCTGCCTGTCTGCCTTTCTTTCCTTTCTTCTTTCCTTTCTTTTTTAAGGCAGAGTCTTACTCTGTCACCCAAGCTAGAGTGCAATCGTGTGACTTTCCCCCACACTGCAACCTCTGCCTCCTGGGCCCAAGCAATTCAGCCTCCCGAGTAGCTGGGACTACAGTTGCGCACCACCATGCCCAGCTAATTTTGCATTTTTTGTAGTGATAGGGTTTCCCCATGTTGCCCAGGCTGGTCTCAAACTCTTGGGCTGAAGCGATCTGCCTGCCTTGGCTTCCCAACATATTGGGATTACAGTCATGAGCCACTGTGCCAACTGCAGTACTTTTAAAGATAAAAATGAGTGGTAAAGTCCATGATGAACTACATACCAAAACTGTAAATAAAGTCAGGGTCTGCTCCTGCACTTGCATGCCCCTGCCTCCTGGTGTTACAAGGATAAAATGAGACCATGAATCTGAAAATGGATTGAAGATATAAGAAAAGTTTAAGTTATTATTTGGACACATTGTTAAAAGCTTAAAAAATGAAGCAAAAAACCTCTCAGCTTTTCAGGGCCTATTTGGGGTTCATGACATTCCAATCAAGTAAGAAAACGACGTAACAGGAAACATGCATGAGCCTCTACAAGTTACTCAAGTCTACATTTGTCCCAAAATTCAGGCTATCCATTTGTGTCACTGACATCCTACGTTTTTTCATCCAGCGCAGAAGCCAGAGTGGTCAGCTATTTTGGAGTTGAAGGTTAAAGCAGGCATAATTGTGTTGTTGACAATGTTGGCAACTGGCCCAGTGCAGGGGGGAATGCAGACAGAGAACCCCTAAGTACAGTAACAGATTGGGAGGGTGGAGATCTCTCCTCACTCATATCACTCTATATGAGCACGGTTGCAAAGCAAGATTTCTACTAACAACGCAGAGATATGCCATTTCCAGGATTCTACCCACAAATGAGGGCAAATCCAGAGTTAACCTACCACAGCAGAAACACAACAAAGAACACAATGAGATACGGTGAAAGGGAGTCTAACCTCTAGACACCATAATCAGATCAGCCTGTAGTTTTTGCTTGAGTTATAATTAGCAGCTGTTGTTCAGTTCAAGCATTAAGATGAGCCCAGCTGTCTCATTCTGAGGACAATCAACAGTCCGAGAGCAAAAACATGGCACAGGTCCTATCATTATAATTAGACAAAACTCATGTTTAAGAATTATCACCCCTAATGTGAAACATTTTGTCCTCAAATTTGTCCTACTCTATTTCTTGTCACTGCACCCACCCACCGACTTATTAACAATATTTTTATGCCCTGATTCCCTGAAGACAGTTAACAGAGCATTTTAAAAATATATTTTCTCATCTGACCCTTACTCAATTCTGGGAGATATGCCTGATAAGGCTTAGTCTCCCCATCTGACAGCTGACTTAACTAAGGCTCAGAAAGATGCAGACAACTGCCTGTAATCCTCAAGTTAGTAAGTCGAAGGACAGAGCCTAGAACCTAGATTTGCTCACGTTTATCCCAATAACCATCACAATATTATACATTAAAAATGCTTCCTATGTGGACACTATTCAAAGCACTGTTACTGCTTTTATGTAAGCAGTAAGCCTCAAAAATGGAAGATTTTAAGAGGATTAATATAGAAACAATGCAAAACATAGATTCAAACAGGTAGAGAGTGATGATGGGAAGGGTTTTGTTCACATTCCCAGCTCAGAGTTTTTCAATTCTGACTGCATACTAGACTTGTCCAACAAACTTTTTAGAAGTTCTGTACCCCATTCCCATAAATTTTGATTTAATCAGTGAAGCATGAGGCACTAGTATTTTTTTATATCTTCCCATATGAATCTAATGTAATGATACCGTGGAGAATCACTGCTATAGGTCAAAGATTAGTATAAATAGTACATAAGCCAGGAGTGGTATATGAGATGAATTTGTAATACCAGACATAAATTTTTTTATTTTTATTTATTTATTTATTGTGAGATGGGAGTCTAACTTTGCCACCCAGGCTGGAGTGCGATGGCACGATCTGAACTCATTGTAAACTCCACCTCCAGGTTCAAGTGATCCTCCTGCCTCAGCCTGCCAAGTAGCTGGGATTTTAGGCACCCGCCACACAGCTAATTTTTGTATTTTTGGTAGAGACAGGATTTCACCATGTTGGCCAGGCTCGTCTCGAACACCTGGCTTCAAGTAATCCGCCCATCTCAGCTTCCCAAGGTGCTGGGATTACAGGCGTGAGCCACCGCACCCAGCCCAGACATAATTTTTTTAATGTTATACAGTTGTTGTGTTCATTTAACTGAATATTTGGAGAAAGCTGTCATATGAGAGCTATGATTTTACAGTTTTTTACAGATTAAAGTTTAAAAAGTAATCTTATTGAAAGACAAGTATAAATAAAAACTGGTTCAGGTAGTACACAGATATGAAGAAATTAAGAAGGTGGTTCAAGAATGACTAAAGTCTACAGATCTGATGATGATGATGATCATGATGAAGAAGAAAAGGATATCTTGGGAGGAAATGGAGAGGAAGTAGCAGACACAGGAAGAAGAACTGACAGGACCTGAGTCAGACTAACCTGAGGCAGGGGAGGGAAGACAGAGTTAACACAAGTCAGCACAGCAAGGTGCAGGATCACGAAGTCAAGTTCAGTATCTTGCTCTAAGCACTATAAATACCAGGCAAGTTCTCAGTCAGCATTCCACCATTGGCAAAAATGGAAAAGTTAAATATTAGGGAGGTTACTGAGGGAAGACCAATAAATCAACTGCTCAGGCTTCTTCCCTTAGGAAAGTTCTACAAGTCTCTTAGAATGGGTGCCACCTACCATGGCTGCCTGCCAAAGAGTGGCCCTCTGGTAAGGGAGACTCTCCTTGTAGCTGAAGCTCCTAAAACCAGATGAACATAGCTGTTAGGCCATTCTCAAGCACATGCTTCAAGATTCTTCTTCAGATTTCAGCTCCTGCTATGGCATGACGTTCCTTTAAGCCGATTTGCCTCTTAACACAGAGTAACTATGACGAGCACGAACCTAGTATAACGTAACACTCCTAAAGGCCAAGTGTTGTAAACTGGACCTGCTCAGAAAGAGAATGCTGACTATAAAAACTTAGTATCTTCAAATACATTTGCCATTATGCAGAAGAACTTAGGTGGTATATATACAGATACAGAAATAAATAATGGTAAATCGCATTTTGAGAAAATTATTTTCTTTCTAATTCTCTTTCAAACCTTCTGATTTTGAACCTCAAATCTTAGCTGGGTGTGGTGGTGCATGCCTATAATCCTAGATATTGGGAGGCTTACGCAGAAGAATCACTTGAGCCCAGGAGTTTGAGACTGCAGTGACCTATGATTGTATCCTCTTCCAGCCTGAGTGATGGAGTTAGACCATGTGTCTACAAAATAAAACTAAGTAAATAAGGTAGGGTACAATGGTTCCTACCTCTAATCCCAGCATTTTGAGAGGCCAAGGCGGGCAGATCACTTGAGGTCAGGAGTTCAAGACCAGTCTGGCCAATATGGTGAAACTCTGTTTCTACTAAAATTGCAAAAATTCACCATGTGTGGTAGCACATGCCTGTAGTCCCAGCTACTTGGGAGGCTGAGGCAGGAGAATTGCTTGAACCTGGAAAGTGGAGATTGCAGTGAGCCGAGATCTACCACTGCACTCCAACCTGGGCAACAGAACAAGACTCTGTCTAAAAAAAAGAAAGTAAGTAAATGAAAGTTAATAATACTGTAATAATATGTGAACATGGCAAAACTCAAGGTGGTTTCCAAGTATCTTACATTGAAGACTTCTGCCCCCAATACCATTTTTGAGTGTCAATCCTCAATATTATTATGAAAGCGTTTCTCTCCAATGTCAGTGTATTTATGAAACCTAGGTGACAGAACCATACATGGCTTTTTCTCATTCCCAGGAAACTAAGGAAATAGCTTGGGTGAACTAATGCTAGCAAGACCATCTCCTGGCCTGTTTCTGATGCAATGAAATTCAAATACTACAACATTTTAAGACTTTGCTCTGACTGACCAAATATGAGTTTTGGTCTAGATATCTTTCTTGTTTAGAGTCTTCCCTAAGTCACATGGTGGCAACAGTTTGAAAAATAAATCTGCGCCAGACGTGGTGGCTCATGTCTGCAATCCCAGCACTTTGGGAGGTTAAGGAGGGCAGATCACCTGAGGTCAGGATTTTGAGACCAGCTTGGCCAACATGGTGAAACCCCATCCCTACTAAAAATATAAAACTTAGCTGGGTATGATGGGAAGCTCCCATAATCTCAGCTACTTGTGAGGCTGAGGCAGGAGAACTGCCTGAACCCAGGAGGTGGAGGTTGCAGTGAGCCGAGATGGCACCACTGCACTCCAGCCTGGGCGACAAGAGCAAAATTCCATCTCAAAATAAATAAATAAATAAATAAGTAAATACATAAATCCGAATGCCATGAGAAATAAACGTGCAGGACGATGGCATGGAAAGGTTTGGGTATCAGAGAAATTTGGATTTTGATCATGGGTAAGTTAACCTCACAAAACCATAACATGCTCAAGAAGTTGTAAGAGAATTCAATGAAAAAATGCACAGAAGGTACCTTATACACTGACATATAATAGGCAATTCGTAAATGTCAACTCCCACTTTCTTGAATAAGCCACACAGTTGCACATCTAAGGTAACAGTGTCTCACCTATATCTAGACAAAGACAGTCCTTCCATAGATTATTTAATGCAAGTACTTCCTCTGCTCCTCCAGGTCCTTGAGTACTAGCCTTTATTCTCTGTAGTGAAATAAAACGGATTGAGTACAGTTTGCACTGAAGAAAACCTGAGCAAAAAACTGGCTGCCAGAAAGTAGTACCTTTCCCCCTTAATTTCCATCACTCTGCTTCCCTTCAATAAGAGGACTATCTAACCAAAACTTTCTAATGACCCTTCCAAGGGGATCTTGTTAAAATGCAGACTGTCATCTAATGCACCTGGGAGAGCAACTAAAATTCTGTATTTAACAAGCTCTCGAGAGATGTGGAAGCCACTAGTTGGCACATGGACCACATTTTGAATAATAAAACCCTCAAAACCACCAACACCTTCCAGATCCAGGAAAGAGAACAAGGAGACAAGGGGCACAGGCCTTATCAGAAATTTCTTTCTCTTTCCAAGAGTCTGGGCATCATTTCAGCCTTTTTTTTTTTTTTTTTTTTTTTTTTCAATCTTTTTGTTGTTGTTGTTGAGACAGGGTTTCACTCTGTCATCCAGGCTGGAGTGAAGTGGCATGATCGTAGCTCACTGCAGCCTCAATCTTCTGGGTCAAAAGATCCTCCTGCCTCAGACTCCTGAGTAGATGGGACTACAGGCACACTCCACCATAGATGGCTATATTAATTTTTTTTAGTAGAGTCAGGGTCTTGCTATATTGCCCAGGGTGGTCTAGAACTTCCGGGCTCAAGCAATCATCTCGCCTCGGCCTCCCAAAGTGTTGGGACTACAGTGCGTGAGCCGCTGCACCCAGCTTCATTATAGCTTTATTTCCAGATGCTTCATATGGAAATGAAATGTCTAAAAGCATTCCCTTTAACTGAGAGCCATCAGCAGGCTGCATGGAGCTGCCTATAAATGACAGATTATTCGTTTTTTTGCTTTACAAAGTTTTACCAGCAACCTATCTGATGCCAGTTTCCCCACTGAGGCTTCAAAATGACACCTCTGCCTCACTTATTCCATAGGGCATGGACCTATGTTGGCAGAACAAGAACCCATGTAGCTAGAGGTGGATGATTTGCACTAGGAATCCACAGGCAATTAGAAGAACCAGCAAGTCCTTACTGAACACCTACTGAACAAGAGTAATTCACAGAGAAACACACTTAACACATTAGTCTTTCATTCAATAAATAGTTATGGGGCACTAACTGGGTGCCAAGCACTGCTGTAGGCTCCATGGACTGAACCCAAAAGCTTGTTCACCATTGAGGCTTTACACCCTTGGTACACTTAATTTTCTTTTGATCAAATTGAATGAAACTGGATCACAACAAGCCTGTGAGTTAGGCAATTCAAGTGTGAGCTGATCAACCACTGTGTGACATCATCTTACATCATTTTTAGACTCTGAAGTAAGCATTACCCGTAGTTAACAAAACACTCACACACACACAGAGCTTGGGGTCAGTAAGTAAACTTCTCCCAGGTAACCCAATTAGCTAACCCTGGAAATTGAACAAAATTCTACCTGATTGCAAGTTTCATGCCCTTAACCTCTAGTCTGTGCTCCCTCCCCAGAGAAGAAAAGCAATTCCCTGCCTGCCCTCAAGAAGCTGACCATCTGATAAAAAAGAGAGGACAACCCACAGACAGGAAGCACTAAAACAATCATGGTAGGCCGGGAGCGGTGGCTCATACCTGTAATCCCAGCATTTTGGGAGGCTGAGATGGGCGGATCACTAGAGGTCAGGAGTTGGACACCAGACTGGCCAACATGGTAAAACCCTGTCTCTACTAAAAATACAAAAATTAGCCAGGCATAGTGGCGGGTGCCTGTAATCCCAGATACTCGGGAGGCTGAGGCCTGAGAATCATTTAAACTTGGGAAGCAGAGGTTGCAGTGAGCCAAGATTGCACCACTGCACTCCAGCCTGGGCAACAAAGCAAGACACCATCTCAAAAAAAAAAAAAAAAGGGTAAATGATTAAAGCATGAAAGTGAGTGGTTCCAAGACAGAATGCTCTAGAACACAGCATACAGTGAGAAACTCAGTACACTTTTCACAATACTTTCAACTTAGAAATGCTTATTAAATATCTCCCCTCCTACTCATATGGTAAGCACACCCTGAGGTAGAGAGACCAACCCAGTCGATCCACCCTGGGTGCTGACTAAAGACTTCTTGGTTGTATTTGTTTCAATTATCTAATGTTTTATATCAGACTACCCAAAACTTAGTGGCTTAGAACAACCAACCACCATTTCATCTCTCTCACATCTGTGTGCATTCAGAATGCGGACAGGGAATGCAGAATGTTCTGTCTCAGCTATCTGTGCTGTCTGCTGGGGCTGGACCATCTGGGGTCCCAGCTAGAATGGCTCAGACAGCTGGGTGCTGGCTCAAATTGCTTAGCTGGAATCAAAATATCATCACTCCGCCACACTCTCTTTTTTTTGGAGACGAAGTCTCGCTTTGTCGCCCAGGCTGGAGTGCAGTGGCGTGATCTCGGCTCACTGCAACCTCTGCCTACCAGGTTCAAGTGATTCTCCTGCCTCAGCCTCTCAAATAGCTAGGACTACAGGCACACACCACCATGCCCGCCTAATTTTTTATATTTTTAGTAGAGACAGGGTTTTACTGTGTTAGCCAGGATAGTCTCAATCTCCTGACCTCGTGATCTGCTCGCCTCAGCCTCCCAAAGTGCTGGGATTATAGGCGTGAGCCACCGCGCCCGGCCGCCTGCCACACTCTTAAAGTGGTGCAGAAACCCTGCCTACCTTCAACAGAAGAGGACTCTCTAAAGTGGGTTTCAGACCGGGCGCGGTGGCTCAAGCCTGTAATCCCAGCACTTTGGGAGGCCGAGGCGGGTGGATCACAAGGTCAAGAGATCGAGACCATCCTGGTCAACATGGTGAAACCCCGTCTCTACTAAAAATACAAAACATTAGCTGGGCATGGTGGCGCGTGCCTGTAATCCCAGCTACTCAGGAGGCTGAGGCAGGAGAATTGCCTGAACCCAGGAGACGGAGGTTGCGGTGAGCCGAGATCGCGCCATTGCACTCCAGCCTGGGTAACAAGAGCGAAACTCCATCTCAAAAAAAAAAATAAAATAAAATAAAATAAAAAATAAAGTGGGTTTCACTGGGGCCATCTATCCAACAGCTAACATACATGAAAGAATGAACAAACTTTAATCACTGGTTCCATTCGTCTTTCCTCCATTCTCCACAAAGATGAGTCATTTGCACAGAGAAGAAATTAACTCATCATTTCCCTTAACCATGGCAAAGAAACAAAGGGTTAAGTGGTCAGGTACTAACCCTGAGATGCATGGGTTAGTACCCTGAGACCGAAAGCTCTTCCACCCACATATAAGTTTCTCAGGGACAAGAACATTGTCTGTTCCCCATTGACCCTCAACTCTCGTCCATACTGCAGGCCCTAGACAAATCCAGAAGGAACTATGATCATCTGATGAGTCACTCAGGCTTGGCTTCTCCCTGGTGAAGATGGACAATAAGAAACACATTTCCATAAAGGTGCTGAGATAAGCAGAAACATAAATAACAAATGCAGTATGGTCTAGAGATGGATTTGTTACATAATAGTGCTGTCCAGAGGGGTTCAGCAATAGCCAATAATTACAATGACTCATTAGTAGGTGAGTGGCTCACACTGTCCCAATGCAGGAGAGCTGAGAAATAATAAGACAGGTCAATTCAATCCCACTGAAAGCTCAAGGTAATAAGACATTTAAATATTTTGCAAAGAGTCTGATACAGACAAGAGGACACATTCTTTTCATCCATTTTCCCGTAAGGATATATGGCTCCCTTAAAGGTTTTTTTGAGAAAGGTCAGATTCAAAATGTATCACTAGGCCCCAAATGGTAAATTCAAATCCTATTCAAACTATTGTCAGGGAAGGAGAGGAAATGACAAACCAGCAAGCACATTCCTGAGGCAGCAAATTTAACAACCTCCCATAATCTCTTCCAGCTGAGCACGCACTGCTCCATCGGGCTCTTCTATTCCCGTTTGTAATTATTCAGGTGCATTCATTTCTATCCTCCTCAACTGCTACCTAAGTCTGTTCTCTGGGAATAGATACTTTCAGACAAAAATTTGTGCTTCAATTAAAAAGGATCCTAGCTGGGTGTGGTAGCATGTACCTGTAGCCCTAGCTACTCAGGAGGCTGAGGCAGGAGGATCTCTTAAGTCCAGATGTTTGAAGTTCTAGTGAGCTATGATTGTGCCACTGTACTCTATAGACTGGGTGACAGAGCAAGACTCTTTCTTTGAAAAACAAAACAAAACAAAAACGGGATCTTTTCTGCTTTCTAAAAAATAACCAGAGTTCTAAGAATTTGGGTCCCGAAATCTACAAATGTAAATTGGAATCTAAGACCCACCACTCATCAGTGAGATAACACTATCGAATTTCACAACTGAGCAACTAACTATTGAACTTCTCTGAACCTCAGTTTCCTCATCTAGAATATGGAAATAATTATAGCACCTACCTCCTAGAATGGTAAGGAGGATAAACAAATGATACCATGTATGTCAAGTTCTTCACCCACAACACAGAACACAATAAACTCTCAATAATTGCCAGCTACTATTATAACTTGTCTTTTTATACTGCACCTAACCCCAAATTAACAGTGCAACACTTCATTTTTTTTTAAGTCTCATAATTCCACCCCATTCAATCCTAACTAAATTTAAAATATACACCAAAAACTAAAAAAGAGATACAGGCACAGCTGCCAAATGGCAAGTAAAAAGCCGTAATTTTCCATCATTGGAATATATTTAGTGATAACTATAAATGAAAAACTAAGGGGGGGGGGGAAGCAAGCCCCCACTTAAAGTCACCCTTCCAGTCTGACAGTCTGAAAACCAAAAATGAAGTCAGACTTCCGCTCGTTTCACTCCTTTCCACCCCGTCTGTCAAAGTTGGGTGGAGAACTCCCACATTTCCTGTTCTGAGCCGGGAGCTCTCTGCCAGGTAAAGCAAGAGACACTCCAGCTTGTGCTGGGACAGCTGGGACCATTGGAGGGATGGGCACTCAGGAAGCTGCCTCCCATTCTTTCTAGGTTAGTTCTGATGATAACAGCACCCTGAACTGAGGGCCCCGGGTTGCCAAGGTAAAAGATTAAGTCATCAAATGACTAGCATACTTGCATCTTAACAAGCAACTCTTGTGGTTGTCATACATGAAAGACATCATCTCCAACACACACCTTGTCAGGTATTCTACTCTCAATTTTCTCACAGCTGAAAAGGAACCAGACTGCTGATTTTCTCAATTTGCTTAGCAGAGGCAGAAATTTAATTGGGATATATACGGCTTAGATTTTCTTCTGCAGATAATGCTGCCTCCAGCACTTTACATTCCCCAGAGAATGGTTTTTGTTGTAGGGAGTACTTAAAAATGCATCTATGTACACACTCGATCTCGATCGTTGTGGTCCAGCAGCACTGCCTCATGTACACTGACCACCAGCACTGTGCAAGACCTTACACAAGATCCAAACCACTAAAACCTCTACCAACTTGTCCACAGACCAAAATTCAGATTTGCCAAGATTTATATAATGACTGCAATGTCATACTAGAAAGAAAAGAATATCAGCCTCACAGAACTCAATAAAAATGAGAAAATATTGTATACATGATTAAATTTCAAAGAGTTCTGTACGAAGTCATCCTACTCACCATCTGAAATTATTTTGTTCAATTATTTGCTTTTGCGTTTCTTGTCTTTTCCCTCCACACCACCCCTGACACCAAGAATGTAAGACCCATAAGAGCAAGAACTTATCCATCCTGTTTGCCAACTCTAGTCTCACAAGACATGGCAAAATAGTAGTTGTGGGCCAGACATGGTGGCTCCCACCTGTAATCCCAGCAGTTTGAGAGGCCAAGGTGGGTGGATCACTTTAGGTCAGGAGTTTGAGACCAGCCTGACCAACATGGAAAATCCCCAGCTACTCAGGAGGATGAGGCTGGAGAATCCCTTGAACTCCAGGAGGCAGAGGTTGCTGTGAGCCAAGATCACGCCATTGCACCAAGACAGAGTCTCACTCTGTCATCCAGCCTAGGCAGCAGAATGAGACTCCATCTTGGGGGGAAAAAAATAGTAGTTGTGGTGGATTCCATTATTTTTTGGCAAATATTCTCTTCCCTCCATGGGAAGACTATATTTCCCTGACTTGCTTTGGGTATGTGCTGAAATGACAGTGTGTCATGTCCCAGAACCAGGCTGCAGAATGAGACAGACAGCAGAGTTTCCCAGTCAACTCGCAGACCTGTGAGTGTGAGAATACTTGATGCCGAATGCCACACAGTTTGGGATAGTTTGTTACATAGCATTTAGTGCCAAGAGATGAGTGATACAGCAAGCTCTCTATAAACATTGGCTGAAGTAAGTGACAAATGAGAAGATTTCACTTGTTAGCACTTGCAAAAACCCATTAATTGTGACAATTCTGCAACAAATCAAGTATTAAGCCTAGTTTTGCTCTAGGATATACTCCTTTAAAAAAGACTATATATTTAGAGATTAAGATTTAAGATACCAAGACTAATCTGTTAGGCCTTCCTTATTTGACTGGAGCCAAAAGATAGTGACCACTTATCCCATTTGTAGATTATACTCTGAAACCAGTTGATGGTTTTTTTGTTTTTTGGTTTTTTTTACCCTCTCCTTTCCTAAAATGCTGGTGAAAGCTTCAAACTCGTAAGATACCAATTTTTACAGGGTACTATTCCTTTCATCTAGTGCAAAAAGCCTTGAAGCTCATAAAACTGAGGCTATAAACTTTTAAGGCACATAGCTTGTAGGGTTAGTGTTGATGTATTTCCATTACTTGAAACATTTAATGGAAGTAGTTTTACAGTTCACTTACATATTCTGTTTATAGTTACTTAATTTCTTAACAAAGAATAGAATAATATCTAAATGGGGATAAAACCGCATTACATTTTATAAGTACCTTTTCATTTTGACCCTTTATCACTCAAGGTAAGGGCTATGAAAGAATCCCTTTATTTAATTTTATTTTAAGTTCCAGGGTACATGTGCAGGATATGCAGGTTTGTTACATGAGTAAACGTGTGCCATGGTGATTCGCTGTACCTATCAACCATCACCTAAGTATTACCCCTAGCATGTACTAGCTATTTTTCCTGATACCCCCTTCCCCACACTCCCACACTGCCCTTACAGGCACCAGTGTGTGTTGAAAAGAAGCCCTTTTCAATAAAATAATAATTTAAGGGGACAAGGAGAAGAGAGACAGACAGAAATGAGAAAGGATCAATAAAATATGACAGCAATATGCTTCCTCATCTATGGTACTGATATGCTTACTTTCTATGTGCCAAGCATATGCAGTATCAAAATTTCACACATATAGATGATGATGACCTACCTGTACCTTTCTTTACCCCTCAAGTGTGAAAAAAGAAAATGGGAAAAGCACCTTACAGAGTCTTCAGGCCTTATGGCAAATACACGGTAAAACGTTCCATGAATAAAACAAGTCTATTTTAACATACACTTCCAGATCACCTTGGAAAGTTTATCATTTTCTCCATCTCAAATCACTTTCTGACACATGGTATTACTGTTGGTTTATTCCCTTCTTTATTATAAGGTTGCTAAATTCCCTTTTAAGCCATGATAGGATACACCAATGCTCCACTAATTGCATCATATTTTGTAAATACAGCCCAGTTTGAGAAGTCTGTTTCCCAACTGCACTTATGAACTAATAAGTAATCTATCTGTCCCCGAGATAGCCACTGTAACCACACAGAGTTAACCTCAGTCCACCCAAAAGTAAAGAAACTTGACATTTCAGTTAAAATAGGTAACTATATCTTGAGAAAATGTACTCTTGTTAATCAGGTCTTGTTCCCTTTTAATGACAAAATAGATTGAGATGCCTTCCCCAGATGCCTTTTAAGACCTCCAAATGGGCTCAAGAAACCAGGCTGAGAGCTGATGTTCTATTTTAATCCCTATTTCTCCTCCTCTTTCTTCCTATCCCAGTTAAATTTTGTTATTGAAATAAAAGCAGGGTTTTTTATTTAAAAAAAAATACCTAATATGACTAAAGCAAAAATAATCCCAATACATATACTGTGATGCTTCTACCTTGGTTACTTACCAAGCGTAAATAATGGCACAAGATGGGCCTTGTGGAGAATAAAAGCTAAAATCGTCCAAAGGCACCAGACATGATGAAAGGTATTCCACACTGGAGTATTTCAATCCAGAAGCAGGTGGGCCGAGAGCTCTGCTCAGCCCCCATGGTGGGGCAGGACTCAGCACAAGGGGCTTGGCCCAACATGGGCACTTAACGGGTGTTTATTTCCTGTCCATGACAGGGCAACATCCTGCATCATGGGCTAAACCTTTCATATCAGGCTTTTACAGAAGGGCAGCAATTATTATCCTCTCAGCCCACCAATTTTAATGAGAACCCACAGCAGGCCATGCCCTATCTAAAGTGCTTCACAGACATTATTTCATTTAGTCATCCCGAGGACCCAGTGAACAATTAGGAAACTGAGGCTCTAAGAGTTGCAGTCGGCACGTATTAAGATATTATGAAGATCCCTTGTTCTGGCTAGAGACGGCAAAATGGAAAAGATGAAATTATTCTCCTCAAAGGAACTGCTATCAAATAGAGGAGACAGGAAGGTCTTTAGAAAAATAAGTTAGAAGAATCAAATTTAGGGTGCCCAGAGAAGGCCCCTAAGTATTTGGGGGGGAGGATCTCAAGGCCATGGCATTTGAGCTCAGTCTTGAAGAACAGGTAGGAATTGGTTTGATTAGGATGAACAGGTGAAGGGGGAGGAAGACCTTCCAGGAGTAAAGAAGTCACCTCAATTAGGTTTTCAAAAAGACAATTTTGAAATAAACTTTGAATATTCAAAAAATATACATGTCTAAAAATTATTGCGATTATGCAAGATCCAAACCACTAAAACTCTACCAACTTATCCACAGACCAAAGTTGAGATTTGCCAAGATTAATAAAACGATTGCAATGTCATGCTAGAAAGAAAGGGGTATAACTCAATAAAAATCTAAAATGTAAATGCTTGACAAGATCTCTCTGAATCCTCACAACTGAAGGAGGCAGGTCTTATAATTACCCCTGTTTTATACATGGGGAAACTGAGGCTCAGAGACATTATCATGGCTTAAAATCACATAACAAGTGGACCCCAGAACTATATAATGCAGAAACTTACAGGCCCATGGCCTTAACATTGCTCCTATCTGCCCTTCCAATTTTGCTTCCTGTCCAGTTCATAATAAGGTATCTACCTAACAAAAAGCAAGTAGTCTGAAGAACAATGGAAAATGTTGGACATCTGTGCCAGCTTTAATTAAATAATTGCTTGTCCACAGGCCATGCTGTGAAAGCCTTTAGAAAAAGATGGAAGCTGAAAGCTCTCAGGTATATAAAACAAAAGCGACCCTGTATGATCACTAGCAAGGTCCAAACCTTTCCCTTGCCTCAGTGCTTAGCAAGCTCAGGTTTGATCAGCCACTTCCAGCCTCAAGTCTTATAAGCCCCAGTGTGCCCAGACCTTCTTAAGCCACTTGAAGGGCTTCCTGACTCAATTTCATAGATTGAGTCTCACAAACAAAAACAGATGCCCAGCACAAAAATCTCTTGCCAGTAAAGGGGCCTGCATTATTTCTCTTTAGATAAAGAATTAACTTCCATATTTAGCTCAGAAATAAGGCATTTTAAATTCACATTTTCAGAAGCACAGGGCAAATTTGCAGAAAAGAAAAAAATATGTCTGGATGAGCAGGGGGGATCTCACTACATTAAATGGCTCTATAATAAAGAATTCTCCAAGGTACCAATTTTAATCACTTGGCATTTTGTTTCATTTTAATACAAACACATAGAAGATAATACTATCATCTCCAATTTTATTTGTAAGGATGTAGCTCTTAGGCAGGAATTAGGGATATTTGGTGGGTGGTGGAGGGAAGATCTCTGTCTTTTCTGAAATGACTCCATGCTGCTTAAAACTCACCTGTCCCACATAAACTATTTTTCTTTTTTTTTCTTTTATTGTTTTTTTTGAGACAGACTCTAACTGTGTCACCCAGGCTGAGTACAGTGGTGTGATCTCGGCTCACTGCAGCCTCCACCTCCTGAGCAATTTTCCTGCCTCAGCCACCCAAGTAGTTGGGATCACAGGCACCTGCCACCACATCTGGGTAATGCTTTGTATTTTTGGTAGAGATGGGGTTTCTCCACATTAGTCAGGCTGGTCTCGAACTCCCGACTTCAGGTGATCCACCCACCTCAGCCTCCCAGAGTGCTGGGATTACAGGCATGAACGACAGTGCCTGGCCTATTTTTCAAAAATAGTGCTTCTGATTCACTGTACTTCAAAGTTGGCCTTCCTGGTATTTTTCAGGTACAAGGAACAAAGGAAGGGCCATTTGCCCAGGCAGGTAAATTACGCCTAACAATTGACACTAATTGGAGAATTATTAATAGTACACAGCTGGAATTAACAATAACCACTACACATACACATACACAACCCCAGGCACTACTAGATCTATATTCATATATTTAGGCAAAACTTCTCTTTGAACTGCTTTGATCAAGAAGAGATGATAACTTTGATATCTGTAAAACTGTGAATATGAACAGGGCAGTTGGTGCAAAACTACAAAGCCCTTTCCCCTTGAACAGCAGAGTCACAAAGGAAGCCACAAACTCTAATACAAACTTTTCCCTCCTTCCCTCTCCTTCTCACCAGCCATCCAACACCCTCTTCCCATGTGGAGACAAGGACACACATAGCAATTGCAATCAGCCACAGTGTAATGGAGAGTGGAGATTTGGCTTGTTGATTCAATGTTAAAGAGGAGAGGCAGGTCAGGTGCAGTGGCTCACGCCTGTAATCCCAGCACTTTGGGAGGCAGAGGCAGGCAGATCACGAGGTCAGAAGTTTGAAACCATTCTGGCCAACATAGTGAAACCCCGTCTCTACCAAAAATACAAAAAATTAGCTGGGCATGGTGATGCGCACCTGTAATCCCAGCTACTCTGGAGGCTGAGGCAGGAGAATCGTGTGGACCTGGGAGGCAGAGGTTCCAGTGAGCCAAGATAGCGCCATTGCACTCCTGCCCTAATGACAGTGTGAGACTCCATCTCAAAAAAAAAAAAAAAAAAGGAGAGGCATCAGAAAAACCTACTACATCACAAAAAAGGCAAAATTCTATTCTCATATTTATTTCTCTCCTCACAGGTACCATTTTTTAAATATACTTCTTTATATACTAGGAAAGAAAGGAATGAATTTGTTTCCAGGGCATCTGAATGCAAACATCCTTTATTGACACAAAGCCCAGATTTAAGCAAGCCCGCCTAAAGGATAGCGAGCTGTCCTGGGAAAAATTCTCACCTGACAGCCATGAGGCCAGAACCCTGATTTCAGCTCCACCACATTCCTGCTGTGTGCCATCAGGCAAGTCACTTCTCTCCAGGAATGGGTTTCCATAAGATAAAGGTAAAGATGAGGTAGGCCCAAGATCCCATCTAGCACCAAGACTCCTTACCAGAAAATCTTCTACCAAATATTCATCAAGTCTGGTGTAGAAAAATCACCATGGGTAGGAAGCTATGAAGGAAGATAACACAAAATCAGGAACACAACAGGTCCTATGCGACATCAGGAACTCAGTGCTTTCAAGTTCCAAGTTAGGATGAAGTTTCAACTAATTTCTTTTTTTTGAGACAGAGTCTGGCTCTTTCGCCCAGACTGGAGTGCAATGGTGCAATCTCAGCTCACTGCAACCTCCGCCTCCCAAGTTTAAGCAATTCTCCTGCCTCAGCCTCCTGAGTAGCTGGGAATACAGGCATGTGCCAGCACACCCAGCTAATTTTTGTATCTTTAGTAGAGATGGGGTTTTACCATGTTGGCCAGGCTGCTCTTGAACTCCTGACCTCAAGTGATCCACTACACTGGCCTCCCAAACTGCTGGGATTACAGGTGTGAGCCACCACACCTGGACAGCTTCAACTGTTAAGGTTAACTTGGTAACTGTGTAGAGCAAATTCTCACTTTGTTGTTTGTTTTTGCCTCAGCAAGTAAAGTAGTGAGAGTACAGAAAGAACAAAGAAAACGGTAACTGGTTATGATCAACCAATTGTAAACACCACTGTACTCAGCCAAGATGTTTATTTGTTTATAATAACGGTAACAAGAGAAGTGGGGGTATATCACAATAATCTACTCCCACCCACTTTGTAAACTAACAAAGCTACTTCCTTTATACCTGTGAGACTACCTAAAACAATTCAGACACTGACGCTCCTATTTGCCAAAACAGATGTGGAGAAAAACATCCTGCTCGGATTTCATTGGAAGGACTTTCTTCATTCTCTCTCTCTGGTTACTAATGCTCCAAAATAAGCCACCTCAACTTTGTGGCATAAAACAACCCTTTCATTATGCTCACGGTTCTGTGGTTCAGGAAGTCTGATAGAAACAGGGACAGTTTGACTCCACAGTGTCTGGGGCTTCAGTTGGAGGTGACTTGATGGCTGAGGGCTACAGCATCTGGAAGCATCTTCACTCACATGTCTAGAGGTTGACACTGGCTGTCAGTCGAAACACCTACACGTGGCCTCTCTGCATGGTCTCTCTGTGTGGGCTTAGTTTGGGCTTCCTCACAGCATGGTGGCTGGGATCCAGGAACAAGCATCCCAAGATAGCAAGGCAGAAGTACATGGCATTTTTATGGTCTTGCCTCAAGAGTCACATGGTGTGACTTTCTGTCATACTCTGTGGGTCCAGATAATCACAAAGGTCTGCCCAGGTTTAAAAGGATGGGATAGAGACATCACCTTCCCCACCTCCATGAAAGGACAGTCCAGTTCACATTGTATCTGGCATGGGAGCTATTTTTGCCGCCATCTTTGGGGGAAAAAATGCAATCTGCCATTGCAGACAAACCACTGACAGATTAAATCCCATGAACAAGGTAAGTCCAAAAATTCTAAGTCTCTGGCATCTTTGACTATTGCAGATTTAAAGCAAACACTTTGACAGGCAAAAGATCACAGGAGAGAGCTAGAAGAATGGGATTCTAGCCACAGAAGCCCACCAAGGTGCCTTTGAAGCCATGATTACAAACACTACTCCTGGCAACAATTAGAAGGGTCCTCAACACACATTATTGTATATACCTTTGCTGTTTTATTGCAGCCTGGGTCCTTCTGGTATCCCACTGACATCTGATTTAAATGTACAAGAGTATTAAAACGTCTGCTGAATTATAACTCCAAAGTTCAGATGACATCAAGATGAAATCTATGAAACTATGAATTTGCCATGTTAAATTGCTTTTTTATTTTTAATGGAACACAGAGGGCAGCTGTTTTTAAAGCAGTCCCATATGCAAAGCTGTGGGTTAGGTTTAACTCAGAGCCAATGTGACCTACAGAGCTTTGGGTGTGTTGCAAGGGAGACCACAGTCTTCAATAATGCTCTGTCTCCCAGCAGGCTGCTTCTAGGGCAAGCAGGAGATGGGGAGGCAGAGAAGATCATCTGCAATGAGTGGCCCATACCTTGATTTTCAGCATCTTTTGTCCCAACCTAAAAACGATAGATATTCCAGATAGATACTCTGTTTTAAGGACATAATACCTTGATTTTCAGCATCTTTTGTCCCAACCTAAAAACAATAGATATTCCAGATAGATACTCTGCTTTAAGGACAGAATACGTCCACCTTTCAGACTTCTGGTTACATCACTAAGCAGGAATACCATCCCCATCAGGATGATATCCTCATTTTATAAGTAGCAGCCCCATCCTCAGCTGTTCAAAAATCAATATTCACAGCCTCTTCGCCTCTCCTCACCCACTAAGAGAATCTTTAGCACTTCCCACTCAGCACTAACCCCATTCCTAAATCTCCCACGCCTTCCCCTTGTGTCTTACTATACATATTGAGGCCATCAGTGTGTGTGAGTGGAAGGGGGGGAAATCAAAGAGAGAGAATAAAATAGCTGAAGGACAAAGACAAGGAGAGAAGATGACACAAAGAAGAATAGCAGCATCATACCATGCCTGGGAGAGATTTGGTAGAGGACAAGAAACATACCATGAAGAGACCTTCCATGCATCTACCATGGATCTACCAGGTATCTAGAGATGAAATGACAACAAATAAGCAGAGAGGGAAAGGGCATTTAAGAAGGGCTGCAGAAGGGAATCACCTGACTTCCCAGAAGACTGCAATCACATCTATGGTTGGTTCCTGGACCAAATTTCTTGACACATTGTGCCAAGAGTCAGTCAATTTGAATCTCTGGATTTACTTGGGTTATGTTGAGCTGATAAAAAATGACATTTAGAGAGATCAGTAACTTGTTATGTGACAACTCAATTCTGCCTGTCACTGAAATTTGTGACTTTTACCTCTTCCAGACACAGCCAGGTAAACAGAAATCTATCACATTCACTTAGCCCTTATAGTCCATTGCTCATGAGGATTTAGCTGTTCACCAGGCAGGAACCAGCAACCGCTATGGAAGCATTTGCATGGCTGCTATATGAATAATGTCAGCAAACGAGAATTAATTCATGAGAGGCTGAAAACTATTACTGCTAGTGGTGGATAGGACAAAAAACGAAATCCCACCTTCTAAAGACAGAAAGTTGCCCAAGATTTTATTTGGAATGTTAAAGTCTTAAAAACGTCTCATAAAGTCAAACAAGTTATTTTTCACTTGTGACACATATAAACATGCATATATAGGTACACATATATATGTGTTTATGTATAGCTATATATGAATATGTGCCTATACATATACATATGACTAAGACAAACTAGAATGATTTATTTTCAGCATATGTCAAACCCTAGGCAATGCTGAAGTAAAGCTTTTTCATTTGTTTAGACTCTGACCAGCCTATGGTACCAGAAGTTTAAGGAGCTTTCTAATGATGTCAGGTATAATACTGGTGTTTAAAGAAAGTATGACATAAAAACATCTGAACACATAGACACATAAATAAAACAGAGGAATGAGATTATGAGTTTTAAATTTTTGTTTCAGTTTGGTTTTGGTTTACCAGCCCTCTGTTTGAAGAGCATGGTTTTGTTTTGCTTTGTTTTTTAGAGATGGAGTCTCACTCTGTCACCTAGGCTGGAGTGTAGTAGCTTAATCACAGTTCACTGCAACCTCAAATTCCTGGGCTCAAGTGATCTTCCCACCTCAGCGTCCCAAGTAGCTAGAGCTACAGGTGCATGCCACCATGCCCAGATAGCTAGCTAGCTAGCTATTTATGTATGTATGTATGTATGTATGCATGTATGTATGTAGAAACAGAGTCCCACTTCGTTGCCTAGGCTGGTCTCAAACTCCTGGCTTCAAGCAATCCTCTCTCCTCGGCCTCCCAAAATGCTGAGATTACACACCTGGCCGGAAGAGCATGTATGTCATGTAAAGTCTATTAAGCTCGACTACACTCATGGTGCAGTGCAGATGCTGGGTCCCAAGGCGCTCAGGAGGGAGGGAGTCTCTGACCCTGCCTTGATAGAACTTTATCAGTTTTATCTCATTGTTGTCTCTTTAAGCCTCAAGTCAGCACGGCGATCCCATCTTCCCAATGATACACTGTCACTTTTCCTATATCATTAACTGGTAAGAATGAAGTTGCAACAAAAGAATTAGGAAGCCAAAAAACAGGAAAGCTGAACAACACACTCAAAATCTAATCAGTGTCTAAGAAATCAAGAATTAACTCTAAACCTTTGGACACAACATGTCACCAACACAGTCCAACTCTAGTGAAGAGGAGGAGAGTGAGGAAGAGGAGATTCAAGAGCATAAATGTGCGGGATAAGGGAAATGGTGCAAGGCTGAAGAGAAATTCCTTAGCTGCATCCTAAGCTGCTGTTGTCAGTAGGTCTGTTGCTGGTGCTTCGGAGGAAGCATTTAAGGATCATTTATCAAGGACACTGGGGGTAGTAATATGGATGGGCTTGCCAAAAAAAAAAAAAAGAAAACATACTGCAGACAAGAAGGAACACAGCTCGTAAGCAAGATAAGCCCTAGTATAGCAGTAACCATTTCGGTGTATTTGCTGTACTTTCCTAAGGGCAGAAGAGAAGGCAAGATACTAAATTGGAGGAGGGGAGGATGTGGAGCTTATCTGGCTCCATTTTTTTTTTTTTTTTTTTTTTTTTTTTTGACACAGTCTAACTTTGTTGCCCAGGCTGGAATGCAGTGGCCCGATCTCAGCTCACTGCAACCTCCACCTCTCAGTTTCAAGTGATTCTCCCGCTTCGGCCTCCCTAATAGCTGGGTCTACAGGCATGTACCACCATGCCCAGCTAATTTTTGTATTTTAAGTACAGATGGGGTTCCACCATGTTGGCCAGGCTGGTCTTGAAATCCTGACCCTAGGTGATCAGCCTGCCTTAGTCTCCCAAAGTGCTGTGATTATAGGTGTGAGCTACCACACCTGGCATGGCTCCATAGATTCTTACTATTCAGTGTGGTTCACAGGACCAGCATCAGCATCGTATGGGAGCTTGTTAGAGATGCCCAACCTGCGCCTACTGAATCTGGACCTGCATCTCCAGATAATTCACAAGCAGAGTCAAGCTGCAGATTTACAATGCTGGGCCCTACACTGTCTGGTGAACACAGAGAGTTCAATCTTTTCCTCATCTCCTCCTCCATTTAGTCTCTAAAACGTGAGCACCCACCACCTGCAGGCACTATGCCTGGCAGGCACAGTGATGCCCTTGACCCTCATGCAGTTCAGAGCTGGGCATTCTGGGGAACAGACACAACCCATACAACCACAAATACACATAAAGATACAACTGAGTGACAAGGGCTGCAAAAAAAGGAAACGTGGTCTTATGAGAGCATACAACAAGATGAGACTGTCAGGCCAGGCTGGCTCCCTAGAGAAAATAATGTTAGAATTGAGATCTGCAGGATGACTAGACATTAAGTAGAATGAGTATGGAAGGCCAGTGTCCAGGAAAAGAGGAAAGGCATATACAAAGGTCCCATGGCATACCACATTACAGGAACTGCAAAGAGAACACCATGTATACAATGAAGCTGGCCAGGGAGGCAGGGGCCAGACCATGTGGGCTCTTGTAGCTCTGAATACTTTGATCCTAAGAACAGAGGGAAGCCCTGAGAGGTTTTAAGCAGGGTATGCCAGGTAAGAGAAAAGAAGATGTTGGCAGATTCCAGGAATTTTACTGAGGAAGCAGGATTCAGACCCCAGCTAGCCCCATATGTGTAACAGTTTATCTTCTCTTCCCTTCTGACCCAGAGCCATATCCAGGGTAAGCCGGCCTGCCTGCCACCAACCCCACAAGACAAACTAAGCCCCTTTCCTACCAAAGAAATAGGCAAGAAGTGCCCCAATGCTAAAGCAAAAGAAAAACACACACGGATGAATACGCCCGGTGGCTGCCCCAGGACACTGGAGGGAGTGATGCATAGTACCCAAGACTCTTAAAAGTAAGGAATACCTGAATTCAAGACCTGGTTCTACCACTGAGTAAATGGACAAGGGAAACTTTCCAAGGCTCCATCTATTAAGGGTGCCTAACAATGCCTACATAATAAGGGTACTTAGAGAATTAAACAGTAGTGTCTACAAAGCCCTAAGCATGAAACTTAACACATGGTAGGTGTTCAATAAAAAAATGTATTGTCTTTACACAGCACTGTGGTTCTCAACCTGCCCTCATGAGCACATTAAATTAACTCTGGAAACTAAAAGAATAATTGTGGACTGGGTACAGGGGTTCACACCCATAATCCTAGCAGTTTGGAAAGCCAAGGCAAGTGGATTGCTTGAGGTTAGGAGTTCCAGACCAGCCTATTCAACATGGTGAAACCCCGTCTCTACTAAAAATACAAAAATTAGATGGCCGTGCTGGCTGGTGCCTGTAATCCCAGCTACTCAGCAGGCTGAGGCAGGAGAATCACTTGAACCCAGGAGGTATAGGTTGCAGTGAGCCAAGATTGTCCCACTGCACTCCAGCCTGGGTGACAAGGCGATATTCTGTCTCAAAACAAAACAAACAACAACAACAAAAAATCATTGTTTATTTTAAAAAATAGTAATGGCTGACATATAGAAAATGCTTAGGCACAACATTAAGCAACGCTAAGCATCACATGTATTACTAAGTCATCACAATAATGCTATGAAATGGGTGCTGCTATTAACTCCATTTTACAACACAGTACACAAAGTAAGGATCTTGCTCAGCTACTGAGTGTGGGTCTAGCTTCTGTGGTGCCTTGGCCACTCCTCAGGGCTCCCAATATCCATATCCCTAGGCAGTAACTTGGGCAATTCACAAAGGGCTCTCCCCCTTATTCTAGGGCTCCCTGAAGCATGGGACTCAGTGTATTCACTGATGCTCAACAAGCCTGCTTCACTCAAGTAAAAGGCTGAATGAAAGAAACTTCCTCCTGAAAGAATCTGATCCTCTGACCAGGGTGCAGGTGGGTAGATGTAAGAGGCTGAAAGCAAGCATACTTCTAGGCGTTCCTCACTTTCACTTACACCATTTTATTGAAAAGAGGCTTTCTTTGGCTTGGTGGGACTCTGATGTCAGTAGTAAGACAGCTCTCTGAAAATCTCAAACACCTAAATTTTGGTAAAACGTAACTTTCTTTTCAGAATTTCCAGTTTGTGCTATTTGAGAAGTCCCATAACTCCTACATGAACTGAATTGTGTTTATTTTCAAATTTTCTGCACATCACTCACTGCCAACTTGGTGTTTACAAAGCACCTTTGCCCTTAGGATTTCCAGGCAGTGATAAAAGCATACAGCAAATATTTTATGGCTGGTCTCATCCTAGTGCCATAGGAGGTACAGAGAATGCCAGCCAGCTGTAAGCAAAGGGGCAGGACTTGAAAGCTTTCTCAGAGGAAGCAAAGTGTTACCTGTGGTATTTAAATGGAAAGAGGCCTGTTGAGTCAAGTGCCTTCCCAGGGAACTGGAGGGACACCAATTTGCCCAAAGTCAACCCTGGCTGGGGAACATAATAGAAGGCTGGAGTTCAGACTTTTCTTCCAGCTGATGATTCACTTAGGACAAAAGAATTTATCTTTCCTTTCAACTCCCTGTGACAAAAGGTTGGAGGTACCGGAGGAAGCCAATTCAGTTAACTTCAAGGGTGTCCCCACATGGCAGCACACATAAATGAGCCAAAGGGAAAATGAAAGGGAATGACTCAAGTATTCTTTTCTCGCCAACTAATGTTGCAACAGTCCTACAGCAACACAAAGATAGGTTTGAGAACTAGTCAAACATGAGTTCAAATGCAAGCACACCCACTTCCCAGATGGGTGTTCTTGGTCAAGTTACTGAAGAAAGTGGTGCTTATTAAGGCAATTACACACACACAAACATATACCCCTATGTCACATGCTCATATGCAGCGAACACTATGCTGTACTATGCCACCTGCCTCCAGGATCCCCCTCCAAGGCATGTGTTGGCTGCACAGAGTCACCTTCCCTAAGGCCACAGAGCCTTCTCGGAACAGCCACCTCCAATCCTGGTTGACTTGAGGGTATACAAGCCTCGCCCTGTCATCCCAACAGGACAATACTGAAGAACCATCTCAATGTCACAGTTTCCTGCAGGTCGGCTGGGCCTTGGTTGAGACAACTTCACAGGCTAACTTCCCCTCCAGCCCAATTCCTCCAACAGGGCTTAATCCCAAAAGCATTCCCTAACAAATGTCCTATATAGTAATCATCTCTGAGTTTGCTTTCCAGGAAGCCAGACAATATCCTGAACAACAGGAAGCCAGACAATATGCCAAACAAAAAAAACTGGAATGAGAGATAGTGAAGTATGGCCAAGTAATAGTATTATTTGGATTGTCATTTTTTCAAGGTCCAGTAAAATGCAAATCTGGGGTGAAAAAAATAAGTAAACTTTTTTAAAGGGCAATAGGATACCCAATAGATGCCCAATATTCCTATATTCCTTAGCTGTAACTACCCCTACCAACACACAAACTTGTCTAAATCAGATTTGCTTTTGCTTGTTTTAGTTAGAGTGAG